GCGCATGCTCTCTATGATCTCCAAGGAACTCAGAGCGGAGCGGAGGGGACCACAGCGGCGGCTGTAGGCTTTGCTTTGCGCAGGCGGTCTGGAGCGCAGCGGGGCAGAGCGGAGCACTGACGGAGTATGTGGGATTTCAGGGTAACAGAAAACAAAATAAAAACAGAAGAGGATCCTCGGCGCCCTCTGGTGGGCAAGCCTCAGGATCCCAACACTTATTAAAGCATATTCTGCACTTTTTCAGAGAATTAAATATTTATAGGGAGAGGATTCTAAAACTCATTGACGTGCATTGTTTGTTTTTTTTAATATCCTTTTATCTTATTTAGTTAAACTTACAGTAAATGAAGAAATACTGACATTATTTTCAGATTACACATAAATAGATTCATTAAATCTGCGAGGGAAAAAAGGAATTACTTTAGGGTTAGGATTAGGATTGACTCAATGATAACCTAATGAGCCCAATGGCACAATCTGAGACATTCTATGTGACTGATAACCTCTAATAACGACCATTTATTGGGATGATATCATCCGAAGCGTGGCTGCAAACAACCACTTAGTGGGAAAAAAGACTGAATCAACATGAGGAGGAACGCATGAGAAGATCCACAGGTTCTATATATTAGAAGAATGTTTATAGACTTCATTTTAACCTGCTGCCAGAAGATTCCACCTAAATAGATACATTGATCTCCTGCCATTCAAGAAATAACCCCGTAATATTACTGCAGTAACGAACCTATGGCAAGCCGTTTTTATTTGTACTAGTTTTAATGAATTTCTGATGTCTGAAAAAACTAATTTTCTTTGTCCAAATGACCATTTCAAACAAAATGACATTCTCCATATAGAATAAACATTCTTGGCGTCTATAAATTCATTTCAGATCTTTATATTCCTAATCAGTGATGGGAGTAACGGCGACCTTTTTTCAGTAACAAGCAGGGGCGGATCCAGAAAAATATTTATGGGGTGGCGAGAGGGGGGCAGGAATTTTTGAGAGATGGCAACATATGGCATTTGTTTACACTGAATCAAAGTTATCACAGTTTGGTGAGAATAGTATGTACAGTAAGTATTTCATGTGAAACAGTTTATATTAGACATACATCGTACAATGTGATCTCACTAAATAGGAGATAGAGGGGCATTATCACAGGAAAGGTATTAAGGTAAGACACAGGTGCTGAGTCACAGATGTGTGAGATTGACTGTCAGAGAGGCAGCTTTGCAGCATTTGCACAAGAAGAAACTATAGAAAGAAAAAGTTA